AGAGGCAGGGTGAGTACCCAAGGAATGATTACAGGAACTTGCATTCCTTAGTGCCATATCCTTTTTACTGTTTCCATCTGTGTTCTTTGGCCACTGAGGAGAAATCAAACGGAAGACTTCTTGAGGCATATTTACACAGAATTTTTAGTTCTGATAGTCATAGTAGCAGTGGTAGATGGGTGTTGGAAGTATTCACCTTGGGGTTTGTTTTTTCTTTTTTCTTTTGGTACCGGGGATTGAACTGAGGACCTTCTGTGTTCGAGGCAGGCGCGGAACCACTGAGCTAATGGGGAGAATTTTTTTTTTTTTGGTACCGGGGATTGAACTTGGGACCTTGCGTTTGCACAGCAGGCGCTGGAACCACTGAGCTAAATCCCCGGCCCCTGGATTTGTTTTTTAAAAAACCTTTAAAAATTGTTTTGGAAAAAAAATTGTTTGGGCACATATTCTGCTGAAATTAGAATGCAGTATGAAATGGGCAAGAAATGGGGTACAGGCTCCCGTGCACAGCAGAGTCTGGAAGTGCATATGCACGGAAGTCACCTGGGGATCTCAGCAAAATGCAGATGCTGAGTCAGATGGGGACCTGGCCAAGGGTCTGCATTTCTAACAACAACAACAACAACAGGTTAAGATCCAGGTAATCTGTGGGCCACAACTTGGAGTTGCAAGGATCTGGAAGGTAGAAGGCTGTCTCCTCTCTACCCTGGACTGTGAGCTTTGGAGAGCCGTTTAAAAACCGCTGTCTGCCAAAAGATGCATCGTGTCTCAGGTGGTTGCTTCCTATATTGCTTTATATTGTGTGTCTTTTGCAGAACTTGGAGCAGCTAGGGATTGTGTTCAGCTCTTTTTTCTTTGTGTAAATGTATTATGACCATAACATTGAAGTTTGCTTCCTGACCTGTTGCTATTCTTCATGAGAAATTGTCTTATTACTTCAAAGGCTGGCAAACATGTGGCTAAATAAAAGAAAATTCTGTACTTTCTTCATTTCAAGACCACATTACTGTCTCTTCTATATTAAGCTGACCAGTAAACCATAATGGACAGGGTGCTTGGGTTTGTCTCTCTTCATTATGTGCTGTCAAATCCTAACTTATTCCATTTGTCGAAGGGAGAGCCACATTGCCTGACTTGGACAAGAAAAGGGATTTTTATTTTTATTTTTTTATTTTTTTGATGTTTGAACACGGAAGCACAAACAGGACATTTGTTGATTTGAAAATTGCTGTTTGGGAATGGTCAGTGGGATACAGATGGTGAGCTGAGAGTGAGTGTAACGAGAATGCCGGGGGATACTGCGGGACAAGAGCCTGTACAGACCTGGCAAGGGAGGCCGAGGGATGAATGGCAAGCGTGGAAAGGTATTTTGTGAAAGAGTTTTTGGACAGGCTTTAACCGGAGGTACGGTGATGGGGCCTGAGCTCTCACCCTATTTGCCCATGTGGACTTTGAGATGGGAGCCAGTCCTGCAGGGAACTAGGTAGTCCGGAATGGTGTCAGCAGCCGGGCAGGAGGGGTGGACGGCTCCAGCTGCTGCCATTTGTGAGAAGCATAGCCAGGCCCTTTGTGTTCCTTACTGTGGGAAGTGTTTTATGGGGGAAGCAGTGGTTTAGGTCATGAAAATTGTCGTGATCTCAGCCAGCTCACCGGAAATGTGCTGGGCGTTGCCTGAAGTTGGGCACTGGCAGGGCAAGTGTGAGCAAAACCCGGGGGTGGGGTGGGGTGGGTGAGGCTGGGCTTCGTTGAAGTTTTTATCAGTACCAGAAATGTTTACTGAGCTCTTGTTCTGTTAGGCTTTTTTAAGGAGCGGGGGCACAGTAGTGACCAAGAGAAATGATCTTCTGACCCTATTCAGACGCTGCTTAAAAGACAGCTAGTGCAAAAAGGGGAAATAAAAAGGAGGTCCCTGTAAACTCTGGTGTCTGTTTTTTGAGCGTGGTGTCCTCTGATACAGTGTCCTCTGGGCTGCTTTCAGAAGAGTCTGGGCGGTGGCACTGCTGAGCCAGGAGACACAGCAGAGGGAGCGGGAAGCTGGAGCAGAATGTTCCTTCTGGGCTCCCTGCCACCCAGGGCGGCAGCCCTGTGGGTGGGCGCGGGCACACCAGTGGCCTCTGTACCTGGCATCCACAGGGGAGCAGCCGAGGATTGGTGACTCACCGGGACAGTGCAGCTGTGAAAGCAGTTCAGTGTTGAGGATTCTGAACCGTACTTGCCTATCAGAGTGAGCTTATTACCTACCTACCAGGGCGGGGGGGCGGGGGGGGACAAGTCTTGACCAGCACTCTAAGATTACAGAAAAACACATGTACATGTCTGTTTTTAAAGCTTGATTTTTATTGTCTGGATTTTGAAACCCATAATCTGTGTCATGGATTGCATCTCCTGTGTTCAAAGTACTTTAGAGGTGGCATGAAGTTGCTGGTGTCAGTAACTGAACCTTAAGCATGGCTTCCTTTGCAGGAATTTTCATCTCTCGTGGTTTATGTTTTAATTAGACTTTAGTTGTAGGGGTATAATTCTCTCATCTGGAGCCCGAAGTCAGGATGAAGGCATAGTGTGTGGAGGATACCGTTAAGTCGTCCTGGGAGTTTTACACTGAAAGCTATTTTGAAGCTTTATAATTTATAAACTCTGTATGTGTAGGAAATAATAGTTTATAATCTCATGTCATTGTTTGTTGTGGAGATGCAAATGATGAGTGGGAGCCTGGTGGTGGTGAAGAGAATTCTGCCTGACAGCCTTTATGAATAGACTCTGGCTGAGGAAAGGGTGGATTTCAGCCTAATAAGCATTAACTCCTCTTGCAGTTAACACTATCATTCAGTGGCTGCTAATATGCTAGGGGAGTTTTCATGCAAACTCAAGGGAGTTGCTGTAAAAATTAATTCAGCTCTGTCTTGCTTTTCATGTGTTGTGTAGCCAAATCATCTGTGTTTTACTTAGGCCCATTATTTGGACTCCACAAATGGGGGGTTAGAGTGCCCCCCCCGCCCCCCTTGCAGTACTGGGAACTGAACCCAGGGCCCTGATGCTGAGCTATGTCCCCACCTCGTTTTCTGTTTATTTTTGAGACAGGGTCTTGCAGAGTTACCCAGGCTGGACTTGAATTGAAGATCCTCCTGCCCCGGCCTCCTAGAGGGCTGGGATTATAGCACTCTACCACTTTGCTCCGCTTCAGGGTGTTGCATTTTTCTGGTTTTGAATCATATGATTGAAAAGACTAGTGACTTGCACCTACTAGAAGTGTAGACATTATTTGTGCTCTTCTTGGTAGGTTTGCTGCAGTTTGTTGGCTTCCTCGGTTACGCTCCAGGGCTGAACCCTGAACACCACCCCAGTGTGGAGGTGTCTTGGTGTTTGTTCTCGGGAGAGCCACCAGGGAGACAGGATGTGCCTTCTTCCTCTAAAGGTGCTGCTCAGGATCGGAAATCTCAGCTTGGCAGCCTGCAGGCATGAAGGACGCCTTACCAGGCGGAGGTGGAAACCTTAGCTTTCTTCCTTCCTTGGGTCGTTCTTCCACTTACTATAGAAGATGGAGAACTGCTCTCATTCTAGGAAATCCTTGAAGCTTAACCAGAGCGCAGTTTAAGTTATTTAGGGTTTAGAAATCTCTCTGTGGTTGGATTTCTAAGATGTAGTTTGTGTTTGTGTAGAGTGTAGGAATTTAAGAGCTGGAAAAAAACCTCCGATAATCTAGCTTTCTCGAGGTCCATGGAGGTTTTACAGGATCTTGGTGGCAGGAGTCAAAACCAATTCCTTTCTACAGCCCAGTACATCAGCACCAGACTGCCCATGAGTGGAAGTTCTCAGAGGTTTTTGGCCTTCTACTTGAGCAGAAAGAACTTAAATATTCCAAATCCTGCCTTTACCTGGGATATTAATGTCCCCCCTCCCCCTTGTTTAAAGGCCTAAAGTATCTGGGTAGCTCAGATACTTCTATCTCTAAGTTGAACACTTACAAGATGCTAACTCTTGCTGTAGGTGTGGGAATGTCAGTCCTCGGATCAGCAGTGTGCAGAGATTCACAGATCTGAATTGAATCTTCTCAGCTAGGGGAGTTGGTGCCAAAACTCTTACAAGCCTTGTTGCTGGTTCCTGAAAATACCCATCTCTTCCCAGTAATCTCAGGCTAGTGACTAGAGTCTGACATTTCCATCTTCTCAGATTCTCGCTCTTTCTAGTTCCTACTCCTGCTGGACCCTCCACTCCCACCGCCAGTAGGCGGGATGAGCTGGCCTGATAAGAACTTGGCCCTCCCCAGGTGAAACCTTTCTCTTTTGCATATACTGGGTTCTCAGGGAACCAGGATGCCTTCCACTGGTGTTATCTTGCGGTTGGATGGCACGGCTTCATAGACCACCGGGGCCTCAGCTGTGACCTAAGGCAAAATGGAGTTATGTTTCCGAGTTCCATAGCTGGCTCTTAGGCAAGGCAACTTCGGGCTTTAGACACCTATAGTCATACTTTAATTTTGATATGAATTTCCCCCCAAATTTATGTAGAAATGCTCCCAAGAGTAATGCAGTATACAATCTGGCATCACTCACTTTATTTTTATTTTATTTTTTTTTGTGGTACCGGGGATCAAACTCAGGACCCTGCACTTGCAAGGCAGGTGGTGGAAGCACTGAGCCAAACCCCCAGGCCTGGCATCACTCACTTTAAAAACCTCCAGTAACATGGTTCATTACACCTCTGGTTGTGTACATGACAACTTCCTTTTCTGAACTTTGCCAGGAATAAAAAACAAGTATTAATTGTTAATGTGTTCATATGAGGAATTGAGATTTCTTTTTCAGTCTTAGGATTAGATTGTGGTCTGTCCAGAAGGGCCAGTATTTTCTCTTTGCATTCTGATGTCATTCAGATCTCCGGGACAGGGTTTTAGTCACAGGACACTTGTTTGGAACATACATTTTAAAAAGTGAATTGTGACTGTGAATGTTTGCTCACTTGTTTTTTAGTAACTCTGCTATCTCTTTTTCTCACTTCCTCAGGATGACAGTGATGGGATTCCGTGGTCAGAAGAAAGGGTGGTACGTAAAGTCCTTTATTTGTCTCTAAAGGAATTCAAGGATGCCCAGAAGAGGCAGCATGGGGACAGCATTGCTGGGAGCCTAAAAACTGTGAATGGTAAGTTGACCCTTACTGGATTTGGATGTCAGCACTTTGCGTGTTCTTGTTTCTGAATTGGATGTATTCTGGCAGCTTGTGGTTCTTCAGCTAGGTACCTACGGGCACTTGGTGCTCTGTGAATGTATAGTGTGGGCAGCCTATTGGGTATATAGGTTTATTTTCAGTTTCTTTATGTACTGCAATAGAGAATGGACAAGGTGCCTATTCTGTTTCTTAGGTTTCGGGTTGAATGTTGAGTCTGTCTTACAGCATTTTCCATGCTTATTTGTCTCTCCACCCAAGTATGGGCATGGGTGGAATCCTTGGGTGATCTTGGTGAAATGTGGAACCCTACTTCTAGGCCCATTTATAAGGAGATAGCTTGGGTCTCTTGCCCTTCCTGCTGCTGTCTGGCTTCCTTGTTGGTCAGGCTGGGATGGTTGCGGCAGGGCTGCAGGTGTGCAGTGGCTTAAATCTCTGTGCCTCTGGAGATGTCCCCTTCTGTAGTCCTCCAGTGGAATCTGGAAGGAAACTTGCTATCTGACTTTATACGGTGTCCCTTTAAAAAAAAAAAAAAATCAGAGCTGGGGATTTAGGTCAGTGGTTCTGCCGCCTGCCTCGACAGCGCAAAGTCCCGAGTTCAATCCCCAGGAACACCCCCCCCCCCCCGCCGCAAAAAAAAAAATTCAGGGGGTTCATAGGATTTAGGTGGATCCATCTCATAACAATTTGAAGACAAACATTTGGTTTGTAGTCTGTTTCAGGCAAGGCAGCTGTATGTATTGTCTTGTATATGTATTATTATCTTAGAATTATAACTAAATGTGAACGAATTGTCTGTGTTTCAATGTATACTTGCTAAGAGACAAGAAGATGAGGCCTGTTGTTATCCCAGAGTCTTGGCTCTGGTCTGAGGGGAGTCATCCCCTCTGGGACCTTGACAGTTCGCCAAGATACAAAATGGCAGGTTTGCTTTGACCTTCCGTGTCTTCCCCGCTGGCTTAACTGCAAGACGAGTTGACTACTCATCTCTCTTTGGGACTCGTGCCTAGCGCAGCACTGTTGGCTGACCTGCTTCTGCAGGGTTTTCTAAGACCACTTTAGTGAACTGTGCCCTTCACCTGGGTTGTCAGACTCTCTTAATACTGTGTTCTTCCACTGTTGTGTGACTTGAGAGAAGATCCAGGCCCCTTCTCCTGGATTTTCTTCTTTAGGTGTGATGTGGCTTTGAAGCCCAACTCTTTTTTTTTTTTTTTTTCCAACTCTTAAGGCTATAGTGGCTTTGCTGTGTGTGTTCCATCCATGCCATGGCCCCCCTACCATTTTCCCCCACTCCTCTGAGCCAACATCACCAAAACAACCTATTTACAAGGCACAAGTAATTTCTGGAACCCATAGCCATTCAGTTTAGACCCCCACATCTTGTTTTACTCATGGGACCCTATGCTGCAGATAGAGACCCCATCCATTCCCTGCCTGCAGTAAATTCTAAGCTCTGTTTGTGTAAGAACATTTGCTGTGACAGTTTGTTGCTCTTGCTTCACTTTCCACACACCATTTTGCCTGGTTACATTTTAGGGAGCCTGGGGATGGGGCACTGAATAAGAACGTGATTGAATCCTGGAGTAAGAGTAGAGCAGTTGCCGCTATCATCCTAAGACTTTGCCCTTGTGAAAAGTAATTCTCTTCTGCTCTCCTGGGGTGGCGGTGCCTTAAATGATTCTTGGAATTTTGACAATGAAAAACAATCCATTCTTTCCTAACTAGGAAACACCAAGTTTTAGGATAAGATGTTAGCCAGTTATCTAGGATTTCATAATGATGAAATTTGGAAAAATGAGCAAAAACTTAGTCATTTAAGAAGCAACCATGCTGCTAGCAGGTGGACCAAATTTAGCTTTGGCTTTGTCATAGTCAGAGGTTTGACAGTACCATGCAGGAAATTCTAAGAAAAGTTTGAGATTGTAGACTGAAATAATTCTTGCACAGCCTTTATAGCAAAAAGTTTTTGTCAGGGTAGTTGATTTGCTTTTTGTGCTGAGAAGACTGACTTTTCTTTTAAACAAAATACTGGCAGTAAGCTTCCTTTCTGGTTGTGAAATTAATGTCAGTATGCCATTTTCTGGTTTATTTTGGTGTCTGCAGGTATCTTTGCAAGGTCACCCGTTTTAATCCCTGACAGTTGTGAATAAGCCTATCTTATGTTTCACAGCGTAAGAGCATTGAGCTTGTTTCACAAGAATCTTGAAGGGCAGCTATCATGTTGAACAGAGTGCATTCTTGTTTGGGAAAGTTACTGGGAAACACAGAAAGAACAAATTGGCAACCTAGGAGCAGTTCCTCTTCTGTGGGTGTACTCATTCCAAAATCTCCTGACCACTGTCCTGCGGTGTGATCCATAAACCCTGGAACAATGGGCGCATCCAAAACTGTTCAGGGCAGGTGAGGCTGAGAGTAGGGTGAATGGCAGTTTCAAGCTGTGTGCTCTGTGAACATGTTGTATATATGCCAGCTTGGGCTTGGATGGATTCTCTCTACTAGGCTGTCATACTGAGCCTGTCCCACAGGACAACCCTGTCCTGGAGGTGCCATGAAGCCAGAATGAAGATTATTTGGAGGAGGGGGATGGAAGTCATGAAGTCATGCAATGTATATATTTTTTGTTCAAAATCTCTGGAGTTAGTCTTCTACCCTCTTGAGGTTTTTTTTCAAAAGTTAAAATGATTCCATAGGCAGTCCAGTTTTCATTGATCCGCTGGTAGAGTTTTGAGATTCTCTAATACAGAGCCAGCACAGAGTCTGTGGGAGGTGGACCCTGGCTTGCAAAACTGGGCAGACAAGGAGGAGAGCATCAGCCTAGAGATGGGGTGCTGATGGGTGGCTTCCACCTCTGCCCACCTCCCCATGCTTTGCAGTTTGGGGACCTTTGTAAACTGAGTAAAATCGGCTTGTGAATGTTATATGTGGTAATGACTTTGCTAATGTTGAATAGGTATTTATTTCACAGCAGCAGAATTGGAACTGTAGCTCAGTTGAGTCCAGTATATAATTGGAAACACAGAATGTGTGAAATGACACCAAATCTTTGCAACCGTAGTGTTGAAAACAGGGTGCTTTATTCTTTTTTCCCCTGTCAATTTTTTAACAAAGATGTTTCTGGAATATTGGTACTGCTAGAGTTTCCTGAGAAAATTCAATTTTTCCCCACCATAATATTTTGCATTAACAATGGCACGGGCTTGACATAATTTTTATCTAATTTAAAAACAAATTGACATTACTTCTGCTAATCACCGGTTAGCACTGCTAATGCTGGCGTGATGAGCGAGCAGCCCTTTGCCCTTACCATTTGTGCGAGGGGGTTGGGTGGTTGGTGTCTGTTAATAGCAAATGAACAGGGTAGCTCGGATCTGCGGCTGGGCTCAGTCTGCCTGTTCTGCAGGTCTAGTAGAGTAGTAATAACCCGAGCAGATACCAGATAGTAGAGACCTCATTTTTTTATGTCATAAAATCCATGTTTGCCATCGGTCTTAACTTTGTGCTTCTGACTCGACATAGAATGAAATTTTTTTGGCCCTGCTAGATGTAATAGTTGGGTCTCAAGCAGCCTGGTGGATTCTCTGTGTAGGAGTTAAAGCCAGTATCACTGCCTGTTGGCTGTTGCTGGGCTTAGGGGCTGGCAGTGTGAAGATTTAGTGATTGTGAGCCTTCTGCCTACTTCCTGCTGTAGATAATGCCACTTTTTCTGGCTGTAATAAAATGACAAAAGCTTTGGAAAGGACTGGCAGAGGTTGAGACCTTGGCCACTCTGTCAGGGCCCTTGGCCCACTGGGGCTGAAATTAGGGATATTTAAATAATAACATGCTACACAAATAATGAGTACACATAATTACACAGTAAGAGAAGGGAGCTATTAGCTGTATTTGAATTTCTTTTGCATCCTATAAATGTCATCTCGGATCAGCAAGCTCTTTGGCCAGCAGAACAGTTTTGAGTAGATTTAAGGGAAGCTGGATACTTTTCTTTAGAATTGTACTCCAGGCAAGGAGTTATACTAGCTAACCTGTATTGAGTTGCTATTTGTCAGGTACTGTTGTAGTGTATATTGATTGTCGGAACAAACTTTTATAGATGAGGAAACCATACACCAAGAGTAGATTAGCAGTTTGTCTCTCCAACTAGGAACTGGCGGAGCCAGGGCACAAACCCAGGCTTACTAAATTAGCGCTCCCATGTGTGTTTAACCACCACTTTGATAAATAGAAGCAATTTTGGAACCTTCCAAAATGATAGGATTCCAAATGTAAGAATTTGTAAGAGGATTTTTTTTTTTTAAAAGCAGCAGTCTCTTTTGAAAGAGACAAGTGGAATTGTTCATGGGGTGTAAAAGACCTCAGGAAGGGGGTGGTAAAGTGTTAATGTGAGCATGTTTCTGGGCTTTATTGCAGCTTGTAATTGAATTGATAGAGGAAATCAAAAAATTGCATTCCTGATTCATTACCTTCCTCTCATTAGTCACAGGCTCACAGATATATTATCACTTTCCATTTGGTCACCTACAGATTTTATGTTTCTTATGGTTGTCTTACAGTTATGGATCACAGGCTGGACTGTGGACTTGCTGACAGCAGCTGCCCTTTTAAAGCCAAGGACCAGTGTTAGAGTGTGGGCACCAGATGCCTCCCAGATTTCCTCTGACACCACCCTCCTTTTTAGTAAAGAATGGAATTGTGAACTGTTTTCCGAATCATTCAGTTGTTCTCAAAGATTCCTGGTGTCTGTGGAATGAGCCCTGGGCCCAACTCCCTCAGATGCATTTATTATAACATAAAAACACGACTAACAAATCAATTAAAAAGTCAGGGCACATTGGCCAATGGTAATTTATTCACTCGGCCATATTTGAAATGAGGTCCTGGTTTTAAAGGTATACAGTTACCTGCTTATCTTCCCTTAGCAAGGTGGATACTTTCCCCTTCTGTTTGGACTGCAGCCTTCAGGTATAGCAGCTTTAAAG